TAGACGTCTAGGCTAAAACGAGGCTAAATTTGGGCTGTCAGTGAAAATTTAATAGACGTCTAACCATAGCCCAAGAATAGACTAGTCATCAATTAGACCGCTATTAAACAACTACATATATACGTCTAATAGACTGTGAGGCTAAAACAAGGCTAAATTTGGGCTGTCAGTGAAAATCTAATACACGTCTAATCATAGCCCATTTATAAAAAACGACTACATATATACATCTAATAGACAACAAAATGGCAATCCATACATACAGCTTTTATTAAGAAAAATAACATTTTTAACAACTTGGACAACTTAAGACAATACAAAATAATAAAAATACAAAAGAATTAATGACAAAATAAAATATTATAAATACAATACACTTTAATATAAATATTATGATAAAAACATCATAATTTTATTATATTAAGTTTTTAACAACTTAATATAATAAAAATATAAAAATGAAAAAATAAAATATTTTAAATAACTTAAGATACTTAAAAGAAAAAAAATCTAATACAAATCAAGAGCATGTTATCACACTTAACATTAAAACACTACGGATAAATGACAACATAAAAAAAAGATGAACCCTTTTGTTGGTTTACTTTTAACAAATAAAACAACCAACAGTGAACTTAAAGGAAATTATTAATTATTGGTTTTATTTCTTGTTTAAAATGCCTCCCAACTGCATTCCTCAAGTCCAACTCTGTTGCTGTGATTGTGAATCGCCGACAGCTCCAGATATTTAGCATGCCAAATATTTTGCGGGTGTCGGCGATTCCCTCAGATCACTTCTTTGATAATTCACACTGCGTTATTGTCACTCGCGTGAACGAGCATCGATTTGCCTCCGATTTCGGGCATTTGTCGGTGATTTCGCAAATCCTGTCGGCGAGTGAAAAATCGGGCTAAAATCGTGCAGTGTGAACTCGGCATAACTGTCAGGCTAAACCTGAGCTCCTCTTACACTTACCAATAGGAACGCATTGATATTACCACTGACTCTCTCATTTACAATTATTTGACTATTATTAGTCTAAAAATAAAAGTATACAGAAAATGCAACTTAATTAATCAAATAAATAAAAATATAGGCTACAACCAACTGTATTTAATGTATTGTGCCCAAAATGCAATGACTTTTTAAGATATATGAAAATATATTAACACAGTTGCTACTTGTGCAGTTGATCAGCAGTTTCTAGCCATGCAGCCTTTCTTTCGGGTTTTATGACAGCTGTACCTTTTATGGTTATTAGTACAACAATAAAACATT